CAGAGGCCGGAACCCAAGGTCCTGGCCTTCAGGCAGAGCATGTTTCTTGTGCTTTGTGGTTTAGGAATGTGGGACTGCCTGGGTGACGTTAAAAGAAGAGTGCTGGAGGGTATAGCTGCTGATTACAGGCTCCATTCTACACAGTGAACTGGAGCATCTGACCCAGCAACTGAGACACGGCAGGGGGTGCGCTCGGCTAGCCTCCCCCCACCTGAGAGGCAGGAAGTGCTGATGTCCTTGACACTTCACAGGTAGTAGACGTAGGTTCTGGAAGGCTGAGGAAACTTATTGAAACGACATGATTAGTAAGTAGGCAAGTCAGAGCTCAAAAATGAGGATTTGTAAAGATTTTGACACACAAAATCCGTTGCCCTTGTTTGTCTGTCTATTTGCTTCTGCCTAATGCAATGCACACCCTAACCTCTCTGAGTTTGCTTGCCTCTTGAAACATGAAACAAGAGCTTTGCCAACTCCAGGAATGCCCAGTCATGCCCACCCTGCATGACCCTGGCACCTCACTGGAAGATTCCCCACAATACTTTCCCTACTGTGGGCCCAGGCGAGAAAGGGGGCTGATGTAGTCCTGGTTTCCCTTCAGGGCAGCCCCTGTGGGCTATTCTGCCTTTTGCTTTTGTTGTGATTTCTGACTCACAGGAGAGGCTGTGAGCTGGGAGGAACAGAAACCTGAGGTCTGGCCTCAACAGGACCCTCCCTGTCAACTCCAACAAGGCCTCTGTATGTCCCTAGTTTCCTGTCCCTTACCACAGAAGCAGGGTCCCAGCTGGTTTCTGGATAGGTCAGATGTAGCAACCTTTGGGTGGGTCCCCTGGCTGCTGGCTCACTGGGACTTTACAAGTATTGGAATGGTTCAACAGGGTTCTCTATTTAACGAGGTCAGGTTTCCCTGGAGAACTTTGGTCTCTGCCTGGTGATAACACCAGGCCTCCGAGAAAGTCAAGCTGACCACGTAAGTAATCATAATGGGTAACTTGCCCAATGATTTTATTATTTGTTCAGGACTCACTGGGTGCTGCTGGGCTAGGCACTAAGTGTAGGGATATGTGAGACCCCAGCATGGTGGCAGAGGGTGCAGAACAAAGACGAATCTCTCAGGAATGCAGGGAGCTGATGGGTTTTTCACTGAAAACCACGGCTGGGAGTTTCCCCCTCCAACCCGACCTTTCTGAAACCCTGGCGGTTCCCTATTCCACAGCCTTGAACTGTGCAGCCTCTGGAGAGGCAGTAGCGGGGAAAGCTGCAGGAAGGACTCGGGTAGTTTACCCGGCTCTCCTATTCTGAGTCCAGACTCCTGGCTCCTGCTTGCTCAGGGACACAGCTCTTACTGCATTTCGGCTGTCACCCTCTGCTGCAGTTCCCGAATGGCCCTGGTCTGCCTGGCTTAGGGTCCTGGCTGAAGCAACCATCTAAAGCTCAGCCCCTCACCTGGCTCGAGACAACACTGAGCGCTTCCACTCTGGAGAATGCGAGGACACTTGACTGATGTCCTCAATGGGTGCCACACTCGGCTGTTCTTTCCTCACATCTTCCAGGTGGTCCCGAGGAGCCCTCTGCACACCGCCATTTCCCACACAGACGGCATCCGGGGCAGAGACAGTGAACACGGTTTTGATGAGCCACAGCACGTGGGAAGATGGAGGGGAGAGCATGACGGGACAGGATGAGCGCAGCGTGGCTAACACATGGGAAACGGTAGCTGGCAGACCCAGGGCTGTGGTGGCCTGGATGTGTGAGGGCCCCTGCGGGCTCATGAGTTTCAACACTCCATCTCCAGCTGGTGGTGCCATTTGGGGAGATTATAGAACTTTTAGGAGGTGGAGATTGGCTGGAGGAAGTGGATCCCTGGGGGTGGGCCTCAAGCTCCTATAACCCCACCCTACATCCTGTTCACTTTCTGCTTCCTGGGTGTGAATGCAATGTGACCAGCAGCCTGTCACGCCTGATGTCACGCTTTTCTTACCATCGTGGACTAGAAGCCCAAAGAAACCCTTCCCTCTGGAAGCCATTTCCTGCTGGGTATCTCATCACAACAAGCTAAGACAATGATAGTTCAGGTCTCTGAAGAAAGGAGGGTCAGTGCCTTTTGACTTGATCTGGAACAAAGAGTAATTCTCTGGTCTTGTTCCAGGTTCACATAAACTCTCTTACTTTTGTCATAAAAAAAAAATCTCTTCTATTGTTTGTCGTAGAATCTACACAACAGATAAAACCCTAGCAATCTGCTTTTGACTGGGAGAGATTACATTTCTAAATGATGTGCCTGTAGTTTTTAAAACAGACAAATTTCTTTGTCTCTAGGGAGTATGGGATTACCAATAGCTTTCTATGCTTGATAGAGTCTGGTATTTTTTCATCTGAAGCCGTGGGGGCTGTCTGGACATTATACTGTACATCATCGTTGTCTAGAACATGAGTGTATGGTGTGGTTGGAGCAGAGAAGCAAACAGTGGCCAAGAGGCTTGATTGTATGCGCTGCGGGGTAAGGCCTGAGGAAAATCCAAGGTGCTCTGTATTTGCAAAGTTTTGTGAAATTATGAATTTCTTTAGTCACCAGGAAACCTGAGACTGATCAGGATAGACCACCACTTCCTACCACGGGTACAGGGAGCCTGCTGTTTGGGCCAGTCCACTGATAGCGCCATCTGGAGGCTGTCCAGCTCTGTCCGGATGGTGTGCGACGATGTGGCAAATCCCAATGGCACTCAGGGTATGGAAACTAAGGAAGGACACCACCTTAGCTGCTTTTCTCACCATCGAGACAACACACTGAAAAATAACCATGGAAGGATTGACTTCTTCTGACTTGCAGTTGGGCCTTCCAGTCTGCCATGACAGGGAAGCCATCACATGGAGAACAGGAGACGGTTGGTTACATTGTGTCTGCAGTCAGGAATAAGAGTGTGATGAATGCAAGTGCCCGGCTTGCTTTCTGCATTCTGCTAAGTCAGAGACACCAGAACAGGGAATAGGGCTGGGCGCTTTTAAGGTGCATCTTCCCGCTTCAATTAATTTATAAACGTTTTTGCAGACATACCCCAAGATTTGTCTCCAGGTGGTCCTATCTCGTATCAAACTGTCAACCAATATGAACCATGACAGACACCAAAGGGAGCCGTGGTCAAGCCTGGAGGATAACTCAACATAACCACGTGCATTCTGGAGATGGGCCAAGTCATCAGTGCTGGGAAAGTGGAAGCTCCATGTGTTGAGTGGCCCCTGGCATGCCTTTTGGCCATGGCAGTGATGTCGCATGTGACTTTGGGGTGTTAAATAGCACATGGCTGCACTGGGGACTGTCAGAATAACTGTATTGAAAGATTGGGTGGGTCCATCAAAAAGAGAAGTAAGTTCTCCAGGACTGGACACAAGGCAAGTCAGAGAGAACAAGGAAGTTGCACAGAGGGTTGGCCCGTCCCTCCTAACACCCACTCTTGCCTTGGTATTTCCCCATCCGCTCATCCCCATCATCTTCTGTGGGGCTGCTGGCTTGACTCATTTGTGTATGTGGAAATGGACGGCGTGCAGCTCCTCCAAGGGCTGCCTGGAAGGATGGCAGCTCGGAGAAATCCTCCGGGGACACGTATCTGGGGAGGTCATCTGATCATCCTCTTGCAGGAGAAACAAAGTGCCTCGAGCTAAGGTTATATGTGTGAGGTGTTTGTAGCAAATCTTATTGTCAGTGTAATGCTCTGAAAACAGAACCTTATAGAAAGTAGACGACGAAGCAGTCTTGGGAAAAACCCCTGGATGTGAGCAGAGAGTGTAAAGATCTGTGTGCCGCCTCTGTAGAAATGGCAGTAAGCCGTCAAGACAACAGGATGACTGGCAGCTGACACCGTCTTGTCTGTCATCAGCCACCCCAGCACAGGGCTGGGTGTCCCAGTGGCAGAGAGGAAGGCTATGCATGAGTTAGTCGGTAATTGGTAGAGGCTTCAATTATGTAGGCCTTATCTGCACATACCGTTGCTTCCAAATGTCTAACCTGCCAGCCACAGGGGCTGACAACGCTGAGTTTCCACATCCGTCTTCAAGGAGGAAGTTGAATACGTGTGCGGAATAGAGACTCCTCTTGACTGGGGTCACCAGCTTGTCTTGGTAAAGGTTTATATTTCCTGCCTGCAGGGACAGCATCCTTAACACCACTCTCCATCAACATGGGCCAAGTGACTCACTCTATCACAAAGGAAGTACAGCCGCAGACACATGGCCACAGGATCCATGGTTTCTCTGTGGCATTACCTGGAAACGGTTAACCTGATCGAGAGGCGGGGAAAGCTTTCTGGAAATGTGGCAGAGATGACAGGCTAGGGAGTGTCTTGGTTAGCGTCAAACACCAGCTTAACACACATTCTGCGGGAAGGGTCACTAAGAATGTCTATGAAGGATTACCTTACGTTAGTTGATAAGAGAGGACTCCTCTTCCCCTAGCCAGGGATGATACCATTCCATTTGTAGACTGTATAAGAAGGAGGCAGGGAGCAGCAGCTCGGACCCATTCAGTCATCTGTCTCTGCTCGTGCCTCTGAGTGTGGGGTGACCCATGACTTCTAGTTTCTGCCATGTGGACTTCCTCTCCATGATGGACTATGAGCTGGAACTATGAGCCAGCACAAAACCTTCCTCTCTTAAAGTGCTTCGATGGGAGTATTTTTCATTACAGCAAATGGAAGAGAAAGAAAGGCAGGAATGTTACCCATGAGGGTAAGCTGTTACTCTGCAGGACAGTATATACATGATGCCCGTATTGGCTGTATTCCTGGGAGGGAGATTATGTGGGTCAAGGAGCCAAGGGAGACTAGTGGACCAGTGATGCTCACCGTCCAGTGCCCTATGTGAGGATCTGCCCCGTCCTCCCTGACTGTATGGGTGGGGAGGTACAGGTATCTGCCAGGACAAGGCCTCCAGAGGAAGATGCAGTAAGAGTCCTATTGAAGTTTAATTCACCCAAGCCACCTGGTCACCAAGAGTCCCCAATGATGATGACCAGTGGGCGAGAAAAGGCGATGTCATCTGGCAGACAGAGCTGGTCCTAAGCACTAGGGATAAGATGCCCTGTTCAGGGATGGATGCATTTTATGCTCAGCTGGTAAACCAGGTGTCTCCTCTCTGTTCTCAGGCCCAGCTGCCCCTAACGATGGCCAACAACAAGAACCAGAGCCTGAGAAGGGAGCTGTTGAGCTCTGAACATGAAATGACCCTGTAGGCTCATGTGTTTGAATACGTGGTCCCAGCTAGTGGCAATGTTTTGGAAAAGGTAGATCACTGTGGGAGAATCTTGAGGTTAACATCTCTGCCCCACGTCTTGCCTACAATTCCTGGTTGGCTGAGACATTGGCAGCAGCCTCACCCTCTTGCCAGCATAGACTGTAGCCTCTGCCATCATCATCACGAAGGTTTGCCCTCCTGTGTTATGCCATGAGCCCACATTCATCACTGTTTCTTTATTTTCTTTTTCAGGTGTTTGATCATAGCAGAAGAAAAGTAACATGGAAGGGATAACCAAGAGTCAGAAATGATGATCTGGACCACACTTGTCCTAGAACAGACATAGTGTAAGTTAAAGGAAGGGGGAATGTCTCTCTCTCTCTCTCTCTCTCTCTCTCTCTCTCTCTCTCTCTCTCTCTCTCTCTGTGTGTGTGTGTGTGTGTGTGATCACTGGTACTGCCCACCTTCTATTTTGAGACGGAATCTCTCATTGGCCTAGCGCTTGGTAAGTAAGCTAACCAGACTGGCCAGCCAGGTTCAGGGTTTTGCCTGTCTCTTCCCTGACCCTGACATTGCAACCACTAAGCACCATGCCAAGCCTTCTCATTTGGGTTCTGGGATCAAAGCCCTTCATCAACAGCTCTGTCTTCCCAGCCCATGGGACAGGGATTTGAACTTGTTATGGAAACGATGCCATGTATCAGAGAGAGCTTGGTGGTACTAGAAGTGGGCAGGCTGCCATTGCCTCTGCTAGTCAGTTGTGAGTTCTCTGGGAACTACTCCCAGCAAGAGTCTAAGCAGCTGCTCCCCTCTGGAGCACATGTGTTAGAAGAAACAGGTGAAACCTATGGGATCTCCCCAAACCCGTCTCCACAGCCACCACACCCGCTGCACCATGGTGACAGGCAGGCTTCTGGTGGCTCAGCTCCCTCCACCGAGACGAGGAAGCGCCTCAGTTGAGGATAAATCTCCTTCCAGAGGGTGCACCGTGTTCAGATGCCAGCTGATGAAGGGATAGAAAGGCCTGGTCCTTTCGCAGCTTGGAGCAGATCTTATGGCTCCCCTGCTCCAGAGTTTCTTGTAGAATACTGAGGTCTGGCCTTCCCCAGAGCCATCTTCCTTGACTTGAATCTGTCTTCTTCTCTCCCGTGGATATGGAATAGGATTCCCAAGAGATTTTCTTGTAGCTTTGCTTCTCAGAATCCATTCCCAGGGACCCTATGCTGGCTTCAGAGTTTGAAAGGCCAGGCTTTCAGAATGTAAGAGGTTTATAGAATGCATAAGGTTTCGGGTGGGACAGATCACAAGCAAGAGTAACCATAGACCCTCGCTAACAACTAAGCATGGAAACTTGGTAGATAAACCCTGCAGTCATGTTTCTTTTATGCTCTTCCCTTCTTTGCTCCCAATGACTTTTTTCTTTATCATCTCCTTTTGTCTGATATTAACACAGCTCCTCTGCCGAAACTTGAGGGGTTTTGCTCTAAGTCCAAGGAACTTCACATTAGAAAGTTTGCTTTAGTTAGTGTTTATTTGGGTAGGAAGTTCTGCCTTATTAGGAAATTTCAAAGCCTCCTGTGTCTAGGTTCAACTTCTCAGCACCCTGCTCTTGTGTGTAAGTGTAAAGCTTGTTCTCACACCCTAATGCTGAGGCTAAAGTCCTCTGGGACCCCAGATTCCCGGAGGTGGGAATCTCTTATTCCCCTCTACTCACAGTGGCTGTGAAAATGACAACTTGGGCCAGAGATACCGCAGTAGGTAACGGTGTTTGTTGCCAGCCCTGACGCCACCAAAAGGTAAAAGGAAAGTGATGACTCCTGAAAGATGTTCTTTGGTTACACATACACACACATGCACATACACATATGCATACACATATGCACACATACACGTACACACATGCACATA